GCGACCGGCGAGAATGTGGACCTCGTGACTGAGCGCGACCTGCGCCGCCCACAGAAACAACGTTCTCTTTGGCCCCTCTCCCAGGTCCAGCAATGTTCTGGCATTGGTTATGGCACCGTCATGCCGGAGCACCGGGCCTCCAGGTGGATCCAATTACCGCGGCAGCTGCAAGACTTGGAGGACGCATTCTGAGGAGGCCTCCGCCTGAATTATGCTCGGCGGCCAGGTGGCGATTGCCCACGCGCAGGTGGCGATCGCCCGCAGGTGGACGCTGGGATGCTCGACCAGCGTCGCCTGGGGACCAAGGGCCCACCTCCCAGCCGAGCCATCTGGCCGCTGCCCCAAAAAGAAAATAAAACACATCTACGCGCGCCGCTTCGCTCGCGAAGGGGCGCCGGCAACCGCGACCACGATGCCAAGCGGGGCCGCAGTCAACATTCCAAGACGCCGCAGGTCTGGCCTCGGCGCCCGGCAGAGCGCGCGGCGCAAGGCATCGTTATTCTGAGGACCTCGGCGGATGCCTCGGCCAATCTCCTGGTTGAGCTCTACCCAGCCACGCGCTCGCGAGTCAGCCCTGATGCCTTCCAAACGTTCGAACGCTTGGACAGAGCAGAGGCGCCCCCACCACCAGCACCAGAAACACCACCAGCACCGACAGGCAAGTCTCGGGCTCGGCCAACGCCTGCTGGCGACTCCACTCGGGCGTCTGGCACCCAGACCCCCGTTGAAGCCCCTGGTGCCAAGCAGGGAGCTGACGCGCCGAACGCGACGCGGTATGCAGAATGCCTCGGCTGCCGCGGCAAACGCATCAGTTTGGACCCCCGACGTATCAAGGTCCCGGGATACTGCGCAGTCTCACTGGGCATCGACTCGCCGTGCTCTCGCCCTGCCTGCATCCGTGACCCGCCACGCGATCGAGCTCGCCCTGACCGCGCCAGGCGCGCAGGAGAACCCGCTGGTTCCACAAACTGGTCAGAGCAGCGCGTGAGCGCCGCACTGGCCAAGGCGGGGCATTTCCCCGCGAGGCTCGCGCACGGCGAGCTCAGGGCCCCGCCGCAGGCACCCCTGGACCCCAGCTGAGTCCCAACGCCGATGGGAATCCACAAGATCGATGTCCCATCGACAATCCAGCACCACCAGCACCAATACGCGGCGATCCTTGACGGCGACAAGCTACCGCCACCGCCGGATCCAGCAGCTCCGAGGCTTCCTAGAGCACCTCGGCCCCAACCACGAGTCGTGGACGCTGCCACTGGACATGCACCACAGGAATGGACGCGCCCCGATGCCACGCAGAGCTTGCGCATGCTACGCACGGGCAACGCACCGCAGCTACGACGAGATATACGCAAGCTACACATCCGCGGGCGGGACGCAACACGGACACAGAAAATATGGTCCCAGCGCGCTACCCTTTTTCAGTCGCCCATGCGAACGCAGGCGCGGTCGACGCTCGCCGCAAGTGCCGGGCGCGGCCCTCCCAAGGGTCACACATAACATGTTCGTTTGAGCTGGTCACGGCCCCCGACAAATATGTGTAAGCAGATGTCTTCTTCTACGCCAGCGCCGCATCTGGCACGTGTTCGAGAGAGCCGACAGGTGGCTCGCCGCACGGCTCCTGGGCATCGATTTCCCGAGCGCTTGCGCTTAGCCATCCTCTCGCTTTGGATGTCAATCTTCGGGCCCCTCAAAACTGAAGTCGTGGACGGCGAACGAGGCATTCTTGCATTTGCAGCGCAGCAGTCCTTCGATCGTCGGTCGACGCGACATCACGGTCCGAGTGCGAGCTCCCGACCAGCGCGCCCGATTGCGCGAGCGGCGCGGCGCGATCCTCGAACGCGCCGCGCGTTGCATCTACGAGAAAGTGAGGCGCGCATGCTTGCCAGTCACCATACGCGACCTCTTGTCCGAGGTAGTCTTTGCTGGCGACTCGCTGATTTTGCGCGGAGGCGCCACTCCTCACAACGCCTGCTTTCGCCGACAGCCAAGGATGTTGCCAGATTCGCTGGCGCTCCCTGACGACGCGGTCCTCGTTGCGCGCAGTTCTTGTCGATTACGGGAGAAAGCAGTGCAGCGGGTCGTGGGCGCTGCAGCCATGGCACGCATCAGTCCCGCCAAAGTCCCGGGCAGACCCTCGACTCCAAGCCGGGAGAGAGTTCGTCGGTTTCTACCGAGCTCCATCCACCAAGGAAGGGAGCGGCTGGGGTGGACCAGCAGCCGCCCTCAAGATGGATGCGCAGCATGGCATCGTTACTGTCAGTTAATAATGCGCCGAGCAGTCATGCCGACTGGGAGATGAACGACGCGTCTTAGACGTGGGAGGTTAGCCGATGGAGTTCCCAGCCCGACTGCGACGCCACGCGTTCAAGCATGAACAAGTATAGAGCAAGGCGTCCTCTGACTCGCGACGAAACGCCAGGACGATGTGGCATTGCCGACGCCGGCGCCATCGCCGCAGTCACAACCTCGCGGCGCAAAGATGCATCGGTCTCGAGTAAATCGCCAGGAACGTGTTTATGTTTACCAGTGTCGTCGTTGTCCAAGTAGGGCGTGGTCTTGAGCGCATCGCCACCGGCAGCAGCCAAGACGGATTATTCCTTGCATGGTCGAGACCGGGTTCGCGCGAGACTGACGAGCGATGGAGCACCGAGGTTGGCCGACTCAGTTTGGTGCAACTCCTCGGCCCAGTTCGCAGGAAAACGTGCGTTCATTGCTTGTCATCGGGAATATCGGTGGCTCTTGCTTTGGAGATCCCGTGGAAGACGAGCTCCATGCGGCGGACATGCGCGGTGGCAATGCCGACGCCCCTGAGGCAGTCGCGCACCCTGACGAGCCTGCCCACGATGATGGCGAACTGTGAAGACCCCAGGAAGGGTCTCACGAGGACTCTTCGGGCAACGGACACCTCGTCGACTCGACCTGGCGGGCATCCCTGACGGCAGCCGTTGCGACCACTCGCAGGATCAAAGGGCACGAGGACTTCGATGCAGCCCTCGAGGCCCTTCATGGAGAAACTAGACACAGGCTGCATGGACGCGCTGACGCGTTGGCCCATCCAACTCACCAAGACCACCATAGGCCTATACTCGGCCACCCCCACACTCAACGACAATGAGTTCATCGCCGCGCACCAAAACGGCGAGCTACCTCTCATAGCTATTCAACACGTTGGCGACATCAAGGTGGCAGTAAACCCCAGAGAGAAGGAACAACAGGGCGACGTTGGCAAGGGTGAGCTGGCTATCCCCGAGCGAACGTTTAGACGTCGCGGGGCCCGACATTCGCCCGCAAGCGAGGGCGGCCACGAATTGGACCAGACCAGCCACGCAGGCTCTCAAGCCCATCGGAGGTGCTGAGCTCGGCGGGAAGGCGAAACATGAGTTTGCACCCGATGGCCTAGCAACGCTATCCTTCAGCCATCCCGCGGCGTTGGCGTTCACCTTGGCCACGCGCATTGGCCCTCGTCTACGCGGTCGCACTGCAGTGCCGCGAAGTGGCGCCCTCGCGCGGTTGCATCCGCCGAGTCAACGATTTGGACAGGTAGGCGCAACGAACCCATCGCAGATGCACCACCCAGCCACGCGCGCGCAGCATAGAATCCACTCTGGCGCAGCATTCCGCAATGAACAAAAGGAGGGCGCGCGTGCAGGTCGCGCCCTGCGCGGCGTAGCAGTCTTGCAAGTGGGAACCAGATCCTCAGCATCAGCCCCAGCGCCCTTCACTGGCACCGTTTCCTGCCATCTCAAGGCGGCGGCAAGAAGCACTTTCGCGAGTGAGCTGATGACTGCGATGTCGTCCACTGACAATGGCCCGGCACTTGCCGCCGCGCTCCGCGAGGTGGCCCAGGGGCCGCGCGACGCCGGCGAGACGCGCTGCAGTCTTCGGCCGCGCTGCTCGAGCTCTGCCTGGACTCAATGGGACTCGCTGCGGCTCCGAGACCCCCCCTGGTCGGGCCAGACACCGGCCCTGAGCTGGGAGGACACCAGCGGCATGATTGCGGATGGACTCGCGAGGGGCTGCATCGATCGCGAAGCACCCCAGTCTGTCTCCAGCGGGCACCCACAACGCCACGGTCAAGCTCACCGCGCGATCAGGTCATGAGTGTTTTTGCGGAGCGCGGTGATCAGCAGTGACCTGCGCGACCGCCGCGCCGCAGTCCAGCCTGGTCAAAACCTACCTCCTTTGCCTTATCTCTCACCTGGAGGCCCCATGTCTTCCTCGCGTCGCCCAGGATCGACGAGCCCACTGCGCAAGTATTTGTCTGTCCCGATGAGAAAGATTGGCGCTGCAGGCGCTGGGTGGAAGTGGTTCTGCCGCAGTTGAGTGGCATCGCATGCGCGCCAATGCGCGACGCGAACAGCGCGCGCGTGCGCGCGCGCGCGTGCGTGACATCCGCGGCCGTTCGCCTGTTCAGCGCGCGCAGCGCTGGGCGCCCGCGCGCGCCTGCGCCTGCCGGCCCCCGCGGGGCCTGCGCGCGTGCCCAAGAGGCCGACGCGCGCGGCCGCGCCTTTCAGGAAGGCCGCCGCTTCGCCCCAGCGACGTGCTTCACCGCCATCAGATTCGAGCACCAGCCCACCGCCGCGGCGCAGGAGCAAAGCGCCGGCAGCACCAGCTTGTGGCGCTCTTTTTGCGGCGCGCCCACTGGGCACGTCGTCCAAGACGCCGCCGCCCACGGGGCCCTTGCGGGCGCCGGCGGCGGAGTCCAAGAGGCGCGCCCGCCGCGAACCATCGCCGTCGCCACCTCCGTTGCGCGGCCCTGGCTTGCAACGCGGCAGAGGCGCAACGCTGCCGCGGCCGCGAGAACGACCAATCGCCTCCGCACCGCCGCCGCGCGCGCCTGCGCAGCCGCAGCCTAGCCGCGCGAGGCAGCAGCAGCGCGGCCCCTCGGCCAGCGCGCCCGCCGCTCGCGGCGCCGAGCAAGGCCGCGCAGCGCAGCTGCCGCCAGAGGCGCCCCAGGATATCATCGGCGACGACGTCGCCGCCTGCATGGTGGAGGGCAGGCACGCAGCAGATGATCGCGCAGAAGAAGTTGCGGCGCGCCCCCTCTCGCCCTCGGAAAGTGTTCGACGCGATCAAGGTCGCCAAGTGCATTCGCTGCAACTGGCAAGTGGGCGCGGCTCTCCCAGAGCCCACGGCGCGCCCAGTCCTCCTCCGCGACGGGCGCGTGGACCTGCAGCTGCGCGCTGCAGTCGGCGACGAGGTTCTCGTCGCGGGCGGGCAGGGCGACGTGGGCCCAGGTCTGCGCCCGAAATCCTTCGTCCGATAGCTCTTGACCTCGGACAGCGCCCGGCAGCGCGCTGGACGCATCCGCTGTCCCCTGGCACGCCGCGGGCACTGGACGCACGTGGCCGGTCATCCCTGGCCCTGCTTCGGCGAAGATCTTCCGCGGGCAGCACGGGCCAGGGCGAGCGGGCGGAGGCCCGCAGCCAGGCCCGCGAGGGGCCCAAAACAGACCCGCCGAGGAGGTCTCAAGCGCAAACACAAGCAGGACCATCAGCTCGCTGCTTTGCACAAGAAAAAGGCAGCACCAGAAGAGGGCGAGGAGGAGGAAGGGCCGCCCACGCCAGGCGCGGACGCAAGGACTGAGCGGCGAGGCGCTGCGCGCTGCATCCGCGTCCGCACGCCCTCAAGGTGACTCCCACCTTCTCCCCGGACCCCTCTGCCAGTCCAAGGCATCCCTTCCGCTTTCTCGCCCCCGCAGGGCTGGCGTCCTGCCTCGCCGGGCCCGGTCTCCAGGTTCGGCTTTCGGTCACCCTGGCCGCGGGCAAGGCCTTCGCACGCCGCCATGATGCACTCGGCGCACTGCCTCCCGCCACCCAGGTGAGTTGCCCAGTGCCGTTCCTATGAGCACGGGCGTGGCTCGCTGAGCACAGTCAGTTGGCACGCATTCCGCCGACACGGCGCGCCTCCCAGGTGGCGGCCGGGTATCCTAGACGGACTGGGACGGTGCGCGGGGCCTGAACAGTGCTGGCATTCCCTCTTGCTCGGTTCCTTTGCTCCGCCAACTGCTCGATCGTCCGCCAAATCCCGACTCGAATAGGATGCCCCGTTGATATGTGGGCCCAAACGCCGGAGCGAATGCATCTTTGATTAATGTCAGCTTCCTGTTTTCTCTGATGGGCCTGTTCTCCACCACCACCACCATAAGTTGAAGGGGGGAAGGAGGAGGAGGAGCAGGAGCAGGAGCAGGAGCAGGAGCAGGAACAGGAGGAGGAAGGAGGAAGGAGGAGGAGGAGGACCCCCTTCCCACTCCATCTTATGGTGGTGGTGGTGGTGGAAAACAGGCCCATCAGTCTCACCCCAACCCTTCGCAAATTCCGTCGTTCTTCCTCCTCTGAATTCGGCATTGGGCCCCACCTCCCGCGCGGAGAGAGCCCGCCCGACCTGTCGCCGACGGTCCCCGAAGGGGCGGCCAGGCGAAGGAGACCGTACGGCTAATGGACAGCTCCCGCGGTTGCTGGCAAGCGTTGGCGGCGCGATCAACATGCCCGTCGAGTGTAGGTTTCATTCTTGGGCGGATGGACAGGAGAGATGGGGAGGAGAGATGGCAGTAAAGGGCAGGAATGAGGCAGAGCAGGCCGAGGAGGAGGAGGAGGGGAAGGGGAAATATGAGTTGAGGGGGAGGGTGAGGAGGAGGAGGAAGAGGAGGAGGAGGAGGAGGAGGAAACACATGGTAATGCGTAAGGAGGGACGAAGCAAGGGGGAGGCGGAACGGTCCCCATCGGGTGCGACCCAGTCACCGTGACCCCTTTGACTGTGGCCCATTCGGATAAGGGGGTGGAGGAAGAGGAAGCGGAGGAGCAGGAGGAAGATAACACACACACACACACCGTGTGTGTGTGTGTGTTTGATCCACAACGCGTGTGTGTGTGTGTGTGTGCGTGTGTATATGTGTGTGCGTGCGTGCGTGCGCGTGGGTGTGCGTGCGTGCGTGTGGGCTTGTGTGCGTGTGTGTGTGTTTTCTCTGGATGCGTTTTGTTCCATAGTTTTTTCCCAAAAAGGACGAGGCACGAGGATCGAAGAACAACACATTACATAGCATAAACCTTTGGTGTTCCGCGCGGATTTCTTGGATCCACGCTGGCCCCCCCCACGGCGGCGCCTCGGGCGCCGCCCCTTGTGCGTCCCGCATTCCAGCACAGATTCAAGAAATTTGCGCGGAACCCCACATGTTTATGTTTATGCTGCTGCTTCTTTAGAGGAACGGAAGGGGTGGGGCATTACAGTTAGGGGCTAGGATGGGTTCTCCGGAGTCTTAGTTGGCTCGAGAGGTTTTGTAGGTCTGGAGGAGAAAAGAAGGAACTCAACACAATCGGCCGCCCAAGGAGGCTGAAGCCGCCGGACAAGGCTGGATGGCACGCAGCGTTTGGTTATACGCGGAACGGAGGCAAGGGAAGTGGAACGATGAACGAGGAAGCAGGAGGGAACAGGAGTGTGCAGGGAGGAGGGAGCATGAGCATCAGCATAAGCATGATAAAAAAGACGAAGTCTTAACGCAGTGAGGAGGGAAGAGACAGGAGGAACGAAGATGGAGCAGGAGACAGGGAGGGAGAGGGGGGGGCGCGAGGGGTGGACGGAGACGGGAGAGGGGACGAGGACAAGCCAGTTGCGCTCGCACCAGATCTGGCACCCTACCCCTTCCACCCATCCCCCCCGTTGCGCTGAAGCAGTTTACACCCGCCAGCTGAGGGGGTTCTCGATGACCCTGATCCCAGAAATGACCTCATCGTGCGTTACGCAACCAGCAGAAAGAGGAGCTCTGCACATTGGGCAAGGAGGGAGTGGCGGATGATCAGGAGGAAAAGTCGGACAAGGGGTCAGAAGCATCAGCGTCGTCATCATCAGCATCAGCAGCATCATCATCATCAGCATCAGCAGCAGCATCATCAGCATCCTCGTTATGATCATAACCGTCCCCATCATCATCATCATCATCATCATCAGCAGCAGCATCATCATCATGATCAGCATCATGATCATCATCATGGTTAGTGTCATAGCATCACCAGCGTCATCAGCAGCATCACCATCGTCATCATCATAATAAGACTCATCATCATCATCATCATCATCATCATCATCATCATCGTCATCGTCATCAGCATCATCATCAGCGTCATCATCATCATCAACAGCTGCATCAACATCATCATCATCACCACCGTCAGCGTCAGCGTCAGGGTCAGCATCATGATCATCAGCGGCATCAGCATCAGCAGCATCATCGACCTCGTTACCACAACAAATAACCAGGGTCATTATTGTCATCATTACCATCATCATCACCATCATCATCATCATCATCATCGTCATCATTATCATCATCACCACCATCATCATCAACATCATCATTATCATCATCAGCATCATCATCATTATTTACATAATCACCATCACCATTGTCATCATGATCATCAGTATCAGCATCATCACAATCACCTCCCATCATCATCATCATCATCATCATCATCATCATCATCATCGTCATCATCGTCATCATCGTCATCGTCATCGTCATCGTCATCGTCATCATCATGACCATCGTCATCGTCATCGTCATCACCACCGTCATCATCAGCAGCGCAATCATCAGCATCATCATCAGCATTATCATCATTATCGTCATCACCAGCGTCGTCATCATCAAGATCATAATCATAATCATACTCATCAGTGCCATCATCATCAGGATCATCATACTCATCATCATCATCCTCATCATCATCATCACCATCATCATTATCTACAGTATCTTCATCATCACCATCATCATCGTCCCCTATCGGCATCATGATCATGATCAGCATCATTAGCGTCATCATCATAATCATCATCATCAGCGTCATCATCACTACCATCGTCGTTATCATCATCAGCGTCATCATCATCATCATCATCATACTAATAATCATCAGCGTCAGCATCAACATCATCATCAGCATAATCATCATCATCATCATCGTCCCCAACATCATCATGATCATCAGTATCAGCGCATCATGGCAATCTCGCATGATCATCATCATGATCATCATGATCATGATCATGATGATGATCATCATCATCACACCATCATCAGCATCAGCATCATCTTCATCTTCAGCATCATCATCATCAGCTGCAGCATAAGCGTCGTCATCATCATCATCATCAGCATCATCATCATCATCGTCATCATCATCATCATCATCATGATCATCTCCTCATCGTCACCATCGCCAACGTCAGCATCGTGCGCGCGGGAAATGTAGCTTTGACTTCGGTGGATCTCGCAGGGGCGAAAGCCGGGGTGCACGAGGGCCTCTAGCGCCCCTCCGCGGCTCCCAGGGCACCCACCGCGGCATGCCGGAGAGCGGCGGAGACAGACGCGCACGCGAGCCTTGCAGTCCGTGGTCGGTCCCTTCCCCTCCCCCCTTCCATTTTCTTCGGAGCTGGGCCTGTCTTCACGCTGTGGGCTTTGTTAATTCGGAGATTTGAGCCCGCGGCGGGCCGCATCATACCGATGCCCACACTGGTCATTGCGCGTGCGCGCGCGCCGCAGTCCGTGCCACCCCCGCCCCCTCCCCGCCGCGGCAGCCGCCGCAGCGCCCGCCGCCTTCCGCGCCCGCCGCCCTCAGCGCCGCGGCGCTGGCGCCGCCGGCGCGCCCGCGCGAGCCGGGCCGCGAGACGCAGCACCGCGAGCCGCGGCGGCCGCGTAGAAGCGCCAATGGCCCGCGCGCGCCGCTGCGCCGGCCGCGGCGCCGCGGCCGCCGTGGCGGCCGCTGCCGCGCCGGCCGCGCTCGGCGCCGCGGCCGCGGGGGCGGCCGCCGCGGTGGCCGGGGTGCCCAGGGCCCTGCGCATGCCCGCGTGGGGTTCGCGTCGCGCGCTGGCAGCGGCGGCGAGAGCCTGTGCAGGAGATCGGAGGGGGGGGATGATGGCTCTAGGCCTACTAGATGGGGTCGCGCCGCATCGCCGATGCGGCTCGATGCGGAGCCCAATTTGCTCCACGGCAACGTCGCCGCTGCATCGCCCACGTCGACGATGCATCGCCAGTGAATCGCCGATGCATCCCTCTATCCATACGTTAGCCATCGTGGACTCCAAGCAGTGCGTTTCTAGCAATACTTGTTGTACAATCGATTTGGAGCAATGGATGTCGTGCAACCTACGTTGGACCGTATACGCGAAACAATCCATGTAATGCAACCTATGTTGTACAGTGTAAGTGCCCATGAGTTGACACATCCCATGCTCTTCC